ATTCTTATCTTCCTGACTGCTCTGTCTGCTTTTAAATTAACTCACGTTTTCCATTTAAACAGCAGCAGTGGAGGCAGCATCTAGCTTCTTTCTCCCGCTGGAGAACAAAGGCGTCCAGGAAAGCGGAGCACACCCAGACTCCGAAGAAGCTCTCACACTTCGTCTCCCAGGAAAAAATCTCTGGGATATTAGTGAGGCTCTACTTCTATCCAGGAGAAGGCTCACCTTCCTCCCTTCACCCAGGAGGAAGGTTTCAAGCCGCAAAACAGCTGATCGGCGCTGTTTTGCCGGCTTTTACGCTTCCCTGTGACAGACGGCTGTCAGATAGCTGCCATCGGCACAGCGCAGCCACCGGAAGTCTCTAAAACTTTTTGTATAAAATATCTATCAGTTCCTTGGCGTCCCCCCAAAGCATAATTTCTTTTTTTAAAATATATTTTATTGGTTTTTTAATTTTAACAAAAAGTACTTAAGACACATCGTGGTGTTTGGGTAAACAAACATTCCAAAGTAAAAAACATAAATAAACCGCTCAACTTAATACATTCACTGTCATCTTTCTATTTCCCATAGATAACATAATAAATTTAATATATTCCATTTTTCACTTAGATTTCTATTACTACTCAACCTATTTTAAAACTTTATCAATTTACAATTACCATAATCAAATATTGTTTTACATCAACAAATTATTACTTCAAATATCTCTATCAGATATGTTGAAGTTCTTAATCTTTCTCATCCCTCTTTTTATCACCAATCTCATTCATTTCTTCTTCCAATAATAACTAACTTAATTAAGAAAACATAATGTTAAACCTTAATTCCTTTCAATTCATTACACAAACTTCAAATTCCATCCAATTAATTATCATACCTTATCAGATTATATTGTTATACACAAAAATCACCTAATCAATTTAAGCACTTCAAAATTCCATTCTCATAACTGAACGTTTTTTCAATTCCAGAACACACACACACACACACACACACACACACACACACACATTCTGAAGTTTTCGCGGGTGTTTGTATGTAGGTCTTTGGTTATTCAGGTTTTCTCCCACGTAAAATTGGAAGTGTCTCGGCGACGTTTCAACGAAGTCTCATTTGTTATCTTCAGGCTGGTGCTTTCAGCTTCATGCTCCTAGAAGCAATGTCACATATATATGTATGTATATGATTATATATTTTTTATCCTTAATATAATCCATAAAGCCAAGGTTCTTTTTTGTCTTTGTTTTTTCCACTCCAATTTTAACTTTCATATTTCTGTACCAAGCAAATTTCGATAAAGCAAAAAAATCATCTAACTAATTTAAACACACATGTATATAATTGAATTTTTCTTACTTCTAACTCTAGATCATTATCCTTAAAACAATCCATAAAGCCAGCATTGCCTTTTAACCCATAAAACAGTTTTAGATTTTTTTTCAGTCTAATTCTGAGTTTTTTTCTATGTCACACAGGCTTCCATAAAAGCGCTTCCCTTTCAACCAATAAATCCATTCTTGTTGCTTGTAATGATCTTTGAGAAAATATAAATCCCTTCCTCTGCAGTAAATGTCTTTTTTCCCTTTCAACCAATAAATCCATCCTTATTCTTGTAGTAATCTTTGAAGAAATATAAATCCCTTCCTCTGCCATAAAAGTATTTTTCTCTTCTCCTTGCAGCGTCGTTGCTTTGTAGTTTGAGATCTTAGTCTTTGCTTCTTCTGATTCTCTAAGTTGCTGAAGAGAGGGTTGTCAGATGAAATAAGTTCCCCTTCTATCTCTGTATATTCCTCTTCTGATACGTTTTGATTTATACCATAGTCAGTTGTAGCCTGAACATCAGTTTGAACAAATGTAGTAGAGTCTCTGGATCTTGGTTCTAAAGTACAGTTTTTAAATGTAGCACATATTTCTGAAATGGCCTCATAGATCTTTTCCAATATAAGTGCACTGTTCAATTGTGGCTGAGGTTTCTCCATTTTAATATTAATGCTTAAAAGAAGATCTCTTTTTCTTTTTTGTGGAGGCTATATTTAACCAAAGCATAATTTCTGATAGAGGGGTCCAGTTTAATTCTAAATTCTGGAGAGCATTTCTGAATTTAATGGGCTCTAGCCATCTTCTCACCACCCTCAAATTAACGGGGGGATGGAACGATTAAACTTTGTCCTGGAACAGGACCTAAGATGTTTTATTAACTACCAGCAGAATGACTGGTCAGACTTGTTACCATTTGCCGAAGTGGCTTATATTAATGCTGTACATTCTAGCACTGGATTTACCCCTTTTCAAGACGCCAATGGGCAGACTTTTGTAGCCATGCCAGAACTTCTTCTTAAAGAGCCCAAAATCCCTTCGCTACATGAATGGATTAAGCAACTCCAGAATATTTGGCCAGTAGTTAGGAAGGCTCTAGATGAGACTAGGGAAGCTTACAAAACCAGGCTGATAAGAAAAGAAATGAACAAAAACCATTCAACATTGGGGAACATGTATTTCTTTCCACTAAATATTTGTAATCACTACAACCCTCAAAGAAATTGGGCCCAAAATTTGTGAGTCCTTTCCCAATTAAACGAATTATAAACCGTGTAACTGTTGAATTAGACCTACTAAAGAATCTATGGAAAATCCACGCAGTTTTCCATTGCAGTTTGCTGAAACCAGAAATTACCTCTGACCTCAGGCCACCTGCTCCTCCTCTTCCTGCCCCTATCTTGATTGAGGGAGAACAACATTTTAAGGTCCATGACATCTTAGATTCTAGAACCTACCATGGGAGAACTCAGTACCTCATGTCTTGGAAAGATCTTCCTGGTTCCCAGAGGGAATGGATCTACTCAAGCTACTTAAGCTACTCAATTGCTTAAACATTTTCATACACTGTTTCCTGATAAACCTAAATAACATTATTGTCATCCCCCCTTTTTATTTTCTTTTTTTCCTTTTTCTCTTGTCTAGGTGGATCTCCCACTTTTTTGAAGGAGGGCCATATGTCAGGTCCCAAACGGTTCCCTATTTTATTTACCTTCCTTCTGTCCTTCCATCTTTAGGACCTGCCATTCTGTTGCAGAAGAGGGAGCCCAGCGTTACTTGCATTTTTGTATTTGCTCACCAGTTCTGTTTCCTTTTCCTGATTGCCATGGGGAGGGGTATGGTAGCTCTCTGAAGATGAGTGCAACGAGCCGGAGGTCAGCAAAGCCAGGAAATCATATGCCAAAAGCAACGGCTGATCACCCTGAGATGCCAGCTGATTGGATACAATTCAAATCCACACATGGCTTTGGTGGGAGTGGTTTTACGGCTTGGGTGACTAAATGGTGTTAACAAACTTTTACCTCAGACCTCACCTTGACCCCCCACTGTTGCTGATCCCCAAATAAAAGAATCCAGTCTGAAGCAGTGATTGCCTCAAGAGTTCAAATTCTTGGGAGAACAGCTGAAGTGGGTTGTTACAGAAGGCGAGGTCTGCATGATGCTCAACCTGAAGACACAACTGTGCTACCAGGGGAGCTGCAACTATTTCACAAATGGAGGAGTTCCCATGAGAGAAATGGTCTGGAGACCTCCAATGATTGAAAGATGAAGAAGGCCTCTCCAAGGAGATGCAAGTGGCTGGGCTGTTAAATACATGAACCCAGACATTATGCTGTTTGCTAAATATTGAGAATGTTATTTGGAAAAACACCAACCCCAACCCTAATCTTAACCTTAACCCTAACCCAAATCTCAACCCCAACCTTGACCCCACCTTATTCCTAACCTTATAAAAACTAATAAAATCTATTTAAAAAAGAGTTCAAATTCTTGGGAGAACAGTTGAAGTGGGTCATTACAGAATCTGAAGTTCTTTCAATAACACCATCCCCTAAGCCAGTGTTTTATTTTTAAAAATCTCTATTCCTTCACCACCAGTGTTCCTAAATCTTTGGCTTTCATGTATAATCTCTTTATATTGTTTTTTGGTTCATTGTCATTGTCAGAATCCAATTATATTTCATTTCTAGCTACCTACTCTGAAAAAAAAACCCATTTCTTACTCTCCCTGGATTCTGTCATACTACGAAAGGGGAGGAGGAAGCAAGGGGGTTTTATGACTCTCACTTCCTTCATTTAAACTACAAAGTGACTGGATGTTGATTCTCATCAAGAGGACTGACCATAACAATATGGCCATTGCCTTTCATCTACTCTCTTTCTCTGAAGTCTTCCTTTTGCCGGCAGTGAGGGGAAAGGGGTGGAACAATGCAATGCCTGGGATCTGGGAAAAGATAGGATAAGTGATCATTGCCCGGAAGTACTGTGGAGTGGGGGCTGCTTGGGACCACTTAAAACATTGAATGGTAGGGGTTGATCCCTCAGATCCTGTCTAGAATGCCTACAATCATTTTCTCTTAATAAAGATGCCTGTTGGAAGAGATATTCCAAGAGTTCTGTCTTCTTAAGATGTAAAGTGAGGTGGGTCCTTACAGTCATATCATTTGTCCCCGCATGGAAGAGAAGAAAGGGATAAAAAACTGTGGGCTTGATTATTTTAATAAGTCACATCTTTGATTTTTACTCCTGGGAGAATTGGATTGCTTAATGATACCCCTTCTCATCTAAAATTAAACATTTCAAAAAATTTAAAATATTGTTTTGGAAAAATTTTAAACTAAAAAATTCTATTCTTAAATGTTAGTCTTTTAATGTTAAATGCCTTAACTTAAATCCTCTATAGTTTGTAATTGAAAGACATATAAAAGACTGACAGATGCAGGGCTTTTTTTTCTCATAGAACGCCCAGAACGGAGTTCCAGCACCTTTTTTGGATGGAATCTTGTAGGGTAGGCAAGATGGGTTATATGACGTATGTGAGTTCTGGCACCTTCTATTTTTAGAAAAAAAGCACTGGACAGATGAATAAAACAATAAAAAGAAAAATATAAAATCTCAGCTAAAAAGGAAGTATCAGCTTATAGTAAATGTAAACGGTTATAAAAAAAGAGGTTCTTTCCTTTAACAATATTGCAATCTTTATTAGTTTTTAATCCACACGATAGAATCATAATTGTAGAGAAATAGAAACTCAGTATCTTATTGCTAGGTTAGAGTAATAATTGCAGAAAAATAGAAACTGTGGTATCTTATTGCCAGCTTAGAACACAGATCTACAATCCTCATAAATCACAGTTTTACTGCTCTCATAACTTTACTGGCTTACTTAAATTTGCAATTTTGCTTTGTGGTTAGTGGAAACAAAGCCTTCCTTGCAACAATTAGAGGTTCTTTAGCATAAACAAAACTTTGCCTTGCAGTAGCCAAAGGGTCTATAAATGATCATTCAGTTTATTCAGATCATACATAGAAATTCATATTCAGTTCATTCATATACATTCAGTTCATAGTGATTATAATCCTTATAAATATACAAAACTTACGGTTGGGGAAAAAAAACTTTGCACACAGATTGCATTCAATTAATTTCATAAAGTATAATATTAAAAGTATGCAGCTCTTAATGTTAAAAAAACCTTTGCAGTTATATTGAAAAATTAAAAAGAAAACATTTATAGACATAAATTTGCAGTTGATATAAAGCAAAAGAAGAAATAGTAAATACTGAGTTGATATGATTTGTCACCTCTCTCTTTGGTGTAAGAAAGGGAAAGGCTCTTCTTTCTCTAACAAAGAATGCTGACAGTCATATCATTCTCCTGAACTCATCAGAATAAAATTTTGCATCCAAGTAAAATTCCCACAAAATCTTCTCTTCTTTTCAAGTCCAGTCTTTTCTCCATTCTTACAGACCCCTTACAACCTGCAGTCTTCAGGGAGAGAACAATGAGCTAACAGGATGCTAAAAACCCTATTAGATAAACTTTGTCAAAAGAAGCATTTATCAAGGCCCCAAATCCAACCGTAGCCTTGTTCCCCTTTCCTAGACCTAAGAAAGATATAGAGATCTCTCCTTATGAGTTGGTGCTTGGGAAATCACTTGAGATTATGAAAGGGCTATCCCCTAATCTCTAAACCTAGAAATTGGGGCTGTCAACTTGATTGGATTTCACTGTGTTGTCTTTGGGCTTAGGTCTGAGAGAAACTGATAGTCTATTTGGTCATTTTCTCAATTCTGTTATCTATGGTAGATAATATGCATACTATATTATACTATATTACACAATAATAAAGTTTAGACAGCCAGTTTGGTGTAGTAATTAAGGCATTAGGCTAGAAACCAGAAGATGAGTTCCAGTCTGGTCTTGGGTACAAAGTCAGCTGGATGACTGTTTGTTTGTTTGTTTGTTTATTAAATTTTTACCTTTCCCTTCTCAATGATAAGGTGAGTTACAGAAAATAAAAAAGTATAGAAACAATTAAATTTTTGAAACACTATATAAAAACTAGAACCAAGGAGACAAACGATATTAGGATAAGATTTCTTCTTACTCTGTCAATCACTTCCAGCAGTTACCTCCTAAGGCAGCTAGCTAAACCAGGTTTTGATACTCTTCTGGAAGGTTTGAAGAGTTGGAACAGTTTTCACTTCTGATTGTAGAATGATCCACAGAACTGGGGCTCTTTAGTGTAACAAAGGGAAGGGGAAAAGGCTCTTTTCTTTGACATTACTAGCTGGAATTTCTTGGCTGACAGGGTCCACAGCAGGATCCTTCCACTGGAGTGAATGAGGCAGGCTAGTCTTATTGGAGTGAGATCACTCCTCAAATAGCCTAGACCCATGCCAGTTAGGCTTCTGGACCAGTCACTTTTTCTCAGTCCTAAGAAGAAAGCTATGGCAAACTATGTCTGAAAAACCTTGTCAAAAAAAATGCTGTCTTGTTCAGGCAATCTCCAAGAACCAGAAAAGATTGAATAGAAGAATATCCTCCGCCTCCTCCTCTTCCTCCTCCTCCTCCTCCTCATCATCATCATCATTTTAGCCATTGTCTAACCACTGCAGGTTGAAGGCCTCTTTCACGTTTCCAACCAATAAGGTCTTGAGCTTTCTTTTACCAACTGGGTCCATCTTGTAAAATCTTAAATTTTATTCTAGATTTTCTCTCATTCAGTATAAATCTGTTGAATGTTTTTTGCCATTCTTGCAAAGTTTTATATGGGAATAAAATTGGCTCCATTTCAAATTTTAAAAATTGTCTTGGGTAATATATTCATTTTAAGAGTCTCTGTTAATCCTAACCAGGAGAGTTTAAATTTTTCCACCTTTTAAAGTCTTTTTAAAAATTTATTTCAAAAGTGTGACTTCTAAGCAAAATACATGACTATTGTGGCAATGGAGCACTTCCCCAACAACTGTATCATTCAGTTGGTGCAGACTGTACTAACTGATTCTCCAATCATGTCAGCTGTTCCTAATAGGAGTCCCTCATTCTCCATATATTGCACTGACACAAAGTCTTTGCAATATAAGCAGAAGGTGAAATGCTTACTGAATGGTAATTCTGTAAGTTTAAGTAAACTTCCAGACTGAGAAATGAAACTATTTGTTTATTCTGTCTTTGCATTTTATATAATAGCAAAAAGAAATCAGAAGAGAGTCCAAGGGATAAATAAGTTTTGTGCTCTGTGGAAATAGCTATATTTTCAGAATTCCTACAACCTTACTACACCAGTCCATGCTTATCCATAAACACTAGGTGGAAGCACCAGATAAATCATTTCATACAATTTATGTTAGGACATATGCTATTTTTCATTTACATTCAGTTTAGCATATTTAAAACTGTTGCAACACAATCAATTCCTATGGTGATGAATAGCATTTGTAAGCCATTAAAATCAGTCTTTACTGATTTTTTTAGAAATCCTTGAAAATATAATATATTGAAATAACAGTATTAAAATTACAATATTTTGATATTAAAGTTTGCAAATATATTTTAGAGAATTATGTACAAATATGAAATTATATAAACCCTCTAAAATATATTTACAAACTTTAATATCAAAATATTATATTTTTAATTGTGTTATTTCGATATATTTTGCTCTTACATTTCTTGATATATATGTTCCATACGTTGGCTTGTGTCATTGTCTTTATGTTTCAGTAATGGTTCCATACAAGAATTAATTTTGTAGACAGAACTGCTTCTCCATTAAACATTTCTTGAAACAATCATTAAAAGACTGAAGTACCATTCAACAGTGGTTTATCCAATGTAATCAGATGAACTCCCAGTTTCCTTTTTATAACCTGTTAAACATAGCCTCCTTTCCAAATAGGCTCCTTTCCATTATTTTTTTGGTGGAAAAACATTTTGTTCATATTGCCCAGAATTTACAATGTTGCCAGCAGGTTCATATCTAGCCACTACAAATGTGGAGCCATCACTTGCAACTGCTTTTCCAACTCCCATCTTTTTTGTGTTCTTCCAAACCATTGCTGTAAAATGACCTGAAAAATCAAGAGTATTGTAAAAAAAGTGCATTAACATTTAAAAAAAATACTTTGATCACAAATATCAGACCATACTAAGCAAAGAAAAAGAAATAACAAATTAGTGGTTTATGAAAAACTGCTTCAAGTAATTACAGGATATTACATGTGAATGAAAGAGGTTTGCTTTTGTAAGATTCTAAAAATAAAAATCTTTTGGGCTAACTTAAACAGGCAAAGAATGCTTGATTATTTTCGTGTTTTACCATAAGTCAAAGTAAATAGGACAGAATTGCCTCAATTTATAGTAAATTATAATAATGAATACAAGCAAACTATTCTTGGCCAAGTGTAATACATACTTCCATATGCATATATTTTTCCTGCAGCAAATGCAAAATAGATTATTGATCAGAGGGATATACTGATTTGACTAAATATATTATATTGACAGTGGCTTGAAACAAAGGGTTCTTTATCTCAATCTCATTTCAGAATCATTGTTAATAAGCAGAATTACTTTTCTTTTTTCTTTTTTTAATTTTAATTTTTTCTTTTTCTCTTTATAAAAAACAAAATACAAAGTACATTTTTCTTTTTTTCTTAACAATACTATGTCCTATATCTCTCACATTTATTTACACTAATTTACATTACTTCTCATACTTTTTTATTCCTCAATTCTAACCAATTGTAATACCTGTCCCATATCTCATAAACTTCTGTAACTTCCTTGTCTTTTATTTCTAGAGTAAGTTTGTACATCTCAGCACATTCTAGTATCTTGTAAATAATCATTACATTTGTTGGCATATTTTCCCCTTTCCAGCATTGCGCATATGCAATGCGTGCAGCAATTATGTGTATAATGATGTATTAAAGTTGTTTTTCCATCTTTGGATTGATTATGCCTAATAGGAATATTTCGGGTTCAATTTGTTCTTTTGTTATTTCCTGTATCCATCTCCTTATCTGCTCCCAATAAGTCTTTGCTTTGGGGCATTGCCACCACATATGAAAAATGTTCCCTCTTTATTTTTACATTTCCAACAGTCTGGATTCATATTTTTATATATCTTAGCCAATCTCGCCGGTGCTAAATGTCATCTATAAAACATTTTATATTGGTTTTCTTTGTATGCGGTTGACAATGTTAGTTTGTAATTTTTGTTCTATACTCTTTCCCATTCAATTTTATATTTTATATTTCTACCTATATTTCATGCCCATGCTATCATTGGACCCTTTACTATTTCTTCTTCAGTTCAACTTCTAATAAAAGTTTATAGGTTTTTGTTAAAAATTTTCCTCTCTTGCTTGTCAATATTTTGTCCAATTGCTGTGGTATCTGACTTATTCCATACTCTTCCATATCTTTGCTATATTTTGATTGCATCTGTAAATATGGCCACCAATCAATAATTATTCCCTCTTCTTTTAATTCCTCCCTTGATCTAAGATTCCCTTGATTGTCTAATAATTCTTTATACCTTATCATCTTTGTTTTATCCAGTATATTTGGGTGAATCATTGCCTCCATTGGTGAGGTCCAATTTGGAATTTTTGTATATATATATTTTTTTTACTTTTTCCCATGTCCAAATTAATGCATCTCTTATCTGGTGCCGGTAAAAGTATGTATGGGACTCCATATTTTTCCTCATTAAAAAAGCATGCCAACCAGCCTGTAAATCATGACCTTCAATTGTTAGAATCCTTTTATTTTCTAAATTTATCCAATCGCTAATCCAAAGCAACCCCGCTGCTTGGTAATAAGTTTCCCATTTTGGAAGCCCAAGGCCACCTCTACTTCTACTATCCTGTAATGTTTTAACATTTATTCATGCTTTTTTGCCTAACCATATGAATTTTTAGACACTGGAGGAAACATTTATTTAACTGTATTGTTTGTTTTACTGTATCACTGTGTTTGGGAATGCTGTTATTACTATTATATTAATTTGGATTCCATGGGAGGGATAATGTTGAAATACTGAACTAAAACTCTACTATTTGTTCTCTTGTACTTAGCCTTGCTCTCAATTTTGTCTGCAAATTGGTATCAAGAAGCCTGCTCCTTTGTTATTAAATATAATTTTAATTAGAAGCAGTTTCCAGTAGATTTACGTAGATTAATGAATTTGTCTAATCCCCTCCTGAATCTCCATATGATGCCATGATGACCACCTTGTGATAGCTACTTTAAGGCATTTGTTATGCACTCTGTGAAAAAAAAAATTCCATTCTATTCTATTCTATTCCATGCCACTCCACTCCACTCCACTCCACATTATTCTATTCTATTCTAGTCTATTCTATTCTATTCTAGTCTAGTCTAGTCTAGTCTAGTCTAGTCTAGTCTTCAATTATCCTAAATTATTTGATGCTATCAGCAAATAGAATTACTTCATGCTCCCTCATTTCCAGATAATTTATGAACATATTAAAAATATAGCCATTTCAATACAGATTCCTAAGGAATCTTAATGCTTGTGTCCTTTTATTGGTCTTGCATTCATTACATTGAATTTTATCTGCGCTTTCTTTTGTTTATGCTATTTATTTACTGTTCAATTATTACTAATTTTGCTCAGAATTTTGGTGAACTAGGGTTTGGGGGGGTTGTAACTACAGTGGTATCTTGATACTCATCGTTAATTAATTCCAGGAGGCACAATGAGTACCAAAAATAATGAGCACCAAACTATTTTTTCCCATAAGAAATAATATAGTGAGTCATAAGGCAGCCAATACCAACAGGTTCTAGCTTGTGTGTTGAGTAACAAACAAACAATGAACAACGGGACAACATTTTCACATCAGAATGTGTTGTATACAAAATTCAATGAATTTCAAAGCAGTTGAGTACCAAGATACCTGTCAATGCTGCTAACATTGGATGTTCCCTCTTTGACAACTGATGAAAATGCAGCCATTTTCTCTTCTCCCTTTCTATGCTTTTTCTTGCTTTTAGAAATCAAGTGCAGCGGGGAGGGGGGTTGGAATGAAAGCTCAGCTAGCCATAATGATAACACTGCTGTAGGAACCCAAGGACAAGCTGATAACGTTTTGGTGGCCTGAGGAGCTGGGGAGAAAGCCCGTGCTTTTAACTAATTGGAAAATTTGATTTATGACAGTTTATTGGGGGTGGGAATTGTACTTTGTTACTTTGTACCCAGGGGAAGGGAAATTAGTTTTTGGGTTCAACTATGTAGTGCTGGTACTTTGTTTCTCGAATAAAATGTTCTTTAAGGAAGAATTTTGCCTGGACGTTCTTTTGATGCATTTCATCTATTGGAACCATGACTACCATTTTATACCCAAAAACTACCATTTTCTACCTTAACCACCTTGGGGTCTTGAGCTCCAGTCACCACAAGTACCATGAAAGCCCTGACTGTCGCTACTATCAGTCACACAGCGCAGTGCTTCACTGTTGGCACCACCTGAGCTGAAGCCTATGCAGGGGGAAGAGTCAGATGTGAGTGTTCAACATGATATAATGCAACAGCTGCATGATCAGTTGGCCAGGCAGCAATGGGTGAGAGTACTGCAGCTGTTGGAGCCCCTGCAACAATTGGGGATGCCACAGCCACCACCGTTGGAAGGTTAGCCACAGGTAGGAACACCACAGCAGTGGGGCTGGTATCAGCCCCTGAATGTGCAACAACAACTGGAAGGCCTGCATCAACTGGGGATGCTGTAGCCACTGACAGGAGGCCAGCTACAGGTAGGAGCACAGCAACAGTGGGGCTGGCAGCAGCCCCTGAATCTGCAGCAACCACTGTGGGCCTGCAGCAACTGCGGATGCCACAGCAACTGCCACCGGGACCCCTGGGAGGCCTGCAGCAACTGGGGATGCCAGTCACCACCAGGAGATCAGCATCTGTTGGGAGTGCAGCAGCAGTGGGTTGGCAACAGCCCCTGCATGTGCAGCAAACCCTGGGGAGCCTGCAGCAACTGGGGATTCTGCAACCACCATTGGGAGGTCAGCAACCATTGGGAGTGCAACAGCCACAGCAGGGAGGCTAGCAACCACTGGGAATGCAGTCACACTGGGAGGGACAGCAACCCATGATGGCACCACCCTTTAGAGCGACTTCTGACAGTGACCCAGAGAAGCTGATCTTCTTCCTAAGTACGTTCTCACATGAATCGCAATGCCAATTTCTACCCGAATCCAGCTGCTACGGTTGATGTGGTCACAGCCAGTTTAGAAGGGGAAGCATCTGAATGGCTAAACAATTTGTACAACAAGCAAGCACCTGAGTTGGGGAACCTCCATCTCTTCCTCCTTGGATTAAGAGCCAGGTTCAAGGACCTATCCATAGCCCTCAAAGTGGAGAAACAAATTCATAAGGTAAAACAAGATGGCAGACCTGCTTTGGAATACATATGAGAATTTCGTAAGATAGCAGGTCGAATAGAAAGGTGGCCCAAACAGTCCCCAGTGCACCACTTCAAGGAGAGATTAGACAATCACATTTCCCAGGCCTGTATCTATTGAGCTGTCCCTAACCTATTGCAGGTGTGTACCCAGCAGCAGTAAGATTGGATGTCAAGCTGGCTTATTATAAGAAGCCTCAGGAAGCTGGGCAGAAGCCAGAACAGACCAGATGACCACCCCCCCCGAAAGCCTCCACCCATCCCTAAGACAGGTGCACGAATAGATTTGAAAGTGCTAGTGGACTCGGGATGCTCCCAGTGCGTTATTAGCTTGCCACTTGCCCTTAAAATGGGTATACAAACCTATTTCATTATTAAATTCGGATTATAAGATTTTTATGGCTATAATGGCGCAAAGATTTAAAAGTTTTCTAGCAGATTTTATACATTCTGATCAAAATGGCTTTTTATCTAAAAGATACATAAGAAATAATGTCAGGATTGTTTTGGACATATTGGAGTATTATGAAGTGCAAATGAAAAACAAATGGGTTTAATTTTCCTTGACGCATAAAAAGCATTTGACAATGTGAAACAGGATTTTATGCTCAATCAATTGTATATGGATTTTG